TCCATTGACTTTGTGTAAAGCTCCAGGTCCACTGGCAGCAGAACAGAACCAGAGCATGATGCTGCCACCTCCATGCTTGATGGTAGGTTTGGTGTTCTTGAGGTTAAAGGCCTCACCTTCTCTCCTCCAGACATATTTCTGCTCATTGTGTCTAAATAGCTCAGCTTTTCTTCCGTCTGACAACAGATCTTTCTTCCTGAAGGCCTTTTCTTTGCCTACGTGATCAGCAGAAAACTGACTTGTGGTTTTCCTGAAGCGTGACAAGTTACTTCCCCCTTTTCATTATTCCATTCATTCTGTGTAAAGCACCAGTTCTACTGGCAACAAAACAGCCACAGAGCATAATACTGCCACCGCCATGCTTGATAGCAGCTATGGTATTTGTGACCCACTGACTGTGTTTAACTGCTCTAATGAAAAAGTTTGGATTACACTGCTAGTTTTTGAAAGCATTTTTTTTCAAGTACTTTAATATGGCTTTAAGGTGAAATTTTCTCCATTCGTGAAATTATGACCTTTGTCTTCAGAGTCCTGCTCTGGTGTGTTAATCTGACAACACGTCATCTGTCTGATCCTCCTGATCACAGATACAAACTAAAATACTTTCTCCTGCTGGAAAATCTTCACTCTAGACTTAAAGTGATCCCGTCTATCAGAAGAACTCCTCCTGAGTAGCTGCTGCTTTATTTCTCTGTGCTGGACTTCATGGACCAACTTTCTTATACAGTTCTGTTCTGACTAAAGTCACTGGAAGTGAGAGGAAACATCTCATCCTTTCGTGGCTCTCTGGAGACAGCAGATTCAGTATAGTGCAGCTTTCTTTGACTTTGGTAACTCAGACTTTATTTCTGAAGTTATACTTTCCAGTCATTCAACTTTAATTTAAAGTAAAAATCATCAAGTCCTGATTTACAGTAATGCTGAGAGAACAACCAGAGAACACAGTTAAAAACAGATTTAAGAGTGGACTCATTTATCATGGTTTTAAAGTGACCTGTACTTACAGCTGTGTTCAGTGTTAATTGAGTTCACATTAAGCGTTAAAGCGGCTCAGATATCATTTGTGTGTTTACAATAAATCAAGCGGAGACACTGAAATTAAAAAAAAAACAAAAACACAGTTTTTCTGTCATGATCATTGTCACGGTGACAAGAAACTGGTGCTATAGAGATGATTTAGAGTTACAGCAGCTGGTTGTATCACAGATAACCAGGTTAACTGGATGCACTGTGATCCAGAGCCCGACCTGAACCTGAGCAGTCACAGCTGAGGGAATAATGCCCAAGTTCACTGAGCTCTATCAAGAGGTCTGACTGAGTCTCTGTGGATCAGAGGGAACAGAAACACTGATCACAGCTGGCAGAAAGGAGAAGCCCTGGACGTGGAACTGAAATTAAAACAGATTTGATGATTTGTTGAAGCAGACACTTTCCAGGTTGTTGCTGCAGCAGCGAACCAGTTCATCTGCAGCAGGAAATATGTGGAACTGGTTGTTCAAACTAAACGCTGAAAGAACAGCGAACAAGTTTGATTCACACGAATGAAGCATTCATTTACAAGGAAAGCATTCATTTACATTCATTTACAAGGAAAAGAAAAACATCTGGAATGTGTCCCGATAAATCTACGCCCAACAGCGACGACATCATCGGCCTCAACCAATCAGCTGCGTTTGTGTCCTTTGATGAAGAAGAAGATTCCAGCTGCCACACCGAGCAGACCGAGAGTCACACCGATTCCACAGAACACTGCAGGTCCAACGCTGGGCGGCGGCGGCGGCGTCACATCTGAAGACATAAGCACAGACACATCAACCTTTACATCTGGACAAATGAACCTGCACATCTGGACACATCAGTCTGTACATATGGAGATGTAGACTGCACATCAGGAGAAATAAACCTGCAGATCTGGACCGATGAATCTGTGTATCTGTACACCTGAACCCGTACACCTAGAGATAAAAAAAAACCTGCACATCTGGACACATGACCCTGCATGTCTGGACACGTCAGGCTGCACATCTGGACACATAAACGTGCACATCTGGGGACCTGCACACCATTACACATGGATCTGTACACCTGGTGATGGGACCTTGCACATCTAGATCCATGTACCTGCACATCTGGACACATAAATCTGAAAATCTGACACATTAACTTGCACATCTGGACACATGAACCTGAATGTCTGAACACATCAGCCTGAAATTCTGGAGACAACAACCAGCACATCTGGACAAATCAAGCAATTTCACATCTGGAGTCAGTCGTCTGTGAGCAACTGTGTTACCAGGTCTCTGTTTAAATAAAGTTTCTCACCCCAGATGGTGGTCAGCGGCTGGCTCAGGGCCACATGTTCCACTGAACAGCTGTAGATGTCTCCCTGCTGAGGGGTGAACTCCAGTCTGGAGATCTGGGTGAAGGAACCATCTCTGTTGACGAAAGGAACGTTGATGCTGGTGCCGTCGGTCACGTTCTTTCCATTCTTGATCCAGGAGACTTTGACAGGAGCCGGATAGAAGCCGGTCACATGACAGATTAGCGTGTTGTTCTCTCTGAGCCCCAAGGCGTCTCTGATGTAGATGATCGGGTCGGAAGGAGGAACTGAACAGAAACACAGTTCCTGTTAATCATGTCAAATACAGAACAGGTTCTTTCACCTGTGCTCACAAACAAGGTTCATGGTTGAAATGAATAAAGCCCAGCAGATGTTTGTCCATCTGCTGATGAAGCTGTTTTTAACCTCTGACGCTCTATGTTGACTGTAAAATCAGCTCAGTCACATCAGGAATTTCAAGAAGAGATTTAAATATTTGTCTTCACCCTGTTCCACTGGGAGGTCCTTCATAGCCATTTTACATATCTTCAGGTTCTGTCTGCAGATTTGCTGATTAGCCACAGCTTCTTCATAAGCTCCTGGGAAGGCAATAGGATCTACGAAGCCTGGCAGAGGCGTGACTCCTCTCTTGTTGATGAAGTCTGCGTACCAAAGCTCTTCGCCATCCAGTGTGTTCGTCGCCGCTCCATCAGAGTCTGAACAGCCACCGAAGTCACGGCTCTCATGTAGAACTGAAGAGAAAACACAATAAAAGTGGTCCTTCACCCGCTGACACACTGCCTGGTTGAGTTTCAGATACACTGAGCTCCATCAGCTGTCGATTTAAAGACTCACTGTCAGCAGAGATCCCGAGGACACAGCTGAAGATGAGGAGCAGCTCCGACATCTTCATCGCCTTCATCGTCTGCAGCGGAGTGGCTGCTGAACTGTGGCTCTAACGTCGTCGGACACTCAGAGTGACACAAGGTGCAGCAGCAGCAGCAGCACAGGTCACCGAGCAGCCAATCACAGAGCAGAGTCACCAGTTTCCGGGCAGACAGAGGCAGCAGGAGAGCGTGACAGCTCACATCAATATCAAAGTCTTTTCTCGCTGTTTTCATATTTTAATAAATGTTAACACAGTTCAGCTGCTGAGAAACAGAAGCACATTTATCATGAACAAATTAAACATTTAATGAAGAAACCGGATCTGTCTCAGAAAAAAAACAACTGGACTCAAAGTGTTTTGGGGAACTTGTTGGTGACTTTTTATTGACTTTGATCCACATGTTAGTTATTAGAGTCATTCCGTCTGAAATCATCACACGTTTAGACATCCTGTGACTTGCCTGAATTTTTTTAAACACGAAATATAGAAGTTTAGAAGTATAATTGTGGGATTTTAGCTCGATTTATCAAAGTCTTTCGCCAACCTTTTACCACTCGTTTTATTCTCACGTTGTAATTTCAGGCTGTTTGAACGACAATGTGAATCTGTAATATTACACAAGTAGGTTAAATAATCTGTGATTGGGGCGCCGCTATAGCTACCTGGTAGAGCTGGCGTCCCACGTACAGGGCTACAGTCCCGATGCGGAGGTCATGGGTTCGAGGCCCGCTCATGACCCTTTCACACATGTCCTCCCCCTACTCTTCTCCCCACTTTCCTGTCTCTCTCCCACTGTCCTATCAAATAAAGGCACAAAGGCCAAAAAAATAACTTTAAAAAAAAAATAATAATCTGTGATTACAGGAGAGATTAAATCGAACAAGAAAGTTGACGCCATCGTGAAAAGTAACGACAGCAGTGGTCTTCCAGCAAAGGAGCAACAGTCCAACTCCTGATCAAGACATTCCCAGTAGGCGTCTGGATTGGATTGTTTGAGGGCAGCTGCTGCTTTGGAGGAAAGCTTGTAAACTGATTTTGCAGAAGACTACGGTGGAAAGGTCCACCACATCTACATCTCGTCAGGTACATTTCTCAGACTTTGTCAACAATTAATGCGTCCAGGGATTTGATGTCATACAGGAGACGAACATGAGAAATAACAGAGAGCACATTGCTTCAATGCTTAAGATTTTTAATTGAGAGACAAGGAAAATGCAGAGAAAGCATTCTTTTCGTAACACATTCAGTTTTCTCTTGTTAATGTCACAAGGTGTGAAAGAGAATCCAGCTCCAGTTTTTACCACTCCATGCTTCGTTCCTCATGTTGCGTTACAGCGATAGAAAAGACGGAAGTGAAGAGAAATCATGAATTCATTCGTGGTTTTGGTACTTTGTGCTTCAGCATCAACTCAGGAATCATCAGATCAGAGGTTCTTGGCACAGACAGACGATTTTACATATCCACAATAATCATCATCCCAGCATTTACTACCTGTAAGAATCCAAAACACAGGATGATAGAATGAATCTGTGAATGTTTTGATGCACATGTGGATTCAGCTTTTACATCTTTAGCAGAGGTTTGTTCTCTCTACTTTAATAAATGGTATGCTATTTGCATTTAATATTTTATTAAGTTACCTGAATAATTCATTTGAAGACAGTTCTGGTTATTCCCTGCATTGTTCGGTTCTCCAGGGCACCAGAGTGTGTAGTTGAAACGTGTCCCATCATTCCAAAACCATGTACCTTCCTGGAAAGCACAAAAAAATATGAACAAAACCAGTATGTCAGAATAGAATAGATTCAACCTCAATATAAATTCATTCTGCTTCCCCAGTTTCTGTCATTTCACAGAGACACACTGTATTGAGCTAAAGCCGTCAGTTGTTTCATCATTAATTTGAAGGAGTTTTTGGTTCGTTTGCTGCATATCTAAATCTTTTTTACTGCATATCCAACTGTTATCTTTAAGGTCAGGAGTGAACCTTCAAGCTTTCAAAGCTCATGGTTTGTAATAGAGATGCGCCGATCCGAAACTGGGTATCGGTATCGGGCC